AGGTTTATTGCTAGCATTTAGGACATGCAAGAAATGATTACTTCAGGGCTGGTGAGATAGCTTAGGGGACTGAACGCCTGCTTAGGCAAGTGCAGGGATGGGGGTTCAATCCCCCGCACCATGTGCCATGCTAGCCCCGCCCCCAGGCATGGTGGCATATGCCTGTAATCCCAGAGCTGGAGAAACTGAAAACAGGAGAATTTGTATGAGTCTGAGCTGTATAGTGAGACCCTGTAGCAAATACATAAAGAGATTACTTCTTAGAGGTGTCTTCCAGGTATAGCTGGCTTTTGGAGTTTGAGCTATTATAAGATCCTACCTCTTTAACTTATTAGGGTTCCTTAGCCCAGCACCTGGTTCTTTGGTACAGGCTATAATATTTTTATGACCCTCAGGCAATCTCAGTCTTGGTATATAGGGAAGAATAACTTACTAGAACAATTATGTCCCTTTGGCTATATGGTGCCATCAGCAATCGCAATAGCATTAAATACAGCCTAGAAAATGACAAATTGAGGTAACTGAATTTGCCATCTTTAACTGTATGAGCTAGATTTGTGATTCTGCAACAAAATGTAAAACAAACCAGAAAATTGTATGTAGTAATTATGTCCTTAATATGACAATTTTACCCTCAAGGAAAAGAATTTAAAAGAGGTTAAAGGGGAAATAGAGAAATAGAAGAAGAGAAAGAGATTAGAAACAAAGCTAGAAGACAAAGGAAGATCATGCAAACTTTGGGGAACTGGTGCAGAAGACAGTAGAGAAAGAGAAGGAAGAAATAAACAACAGAACAGAGCAACAACAACAGAAAACTAGAAACCATATTCATACTCAAAGACAAGAACAAGCAATGAAGGAAAAGCAAAACAAAAATGAGAGAGAGAGAGAGAGAGAGAGAGACCCATTCAAGATGTGTCTCTGCTGTCACTGGTGGACAAGGTGGGCAGAGTACAGATCTGTGTTGATTAATTTACTGGAGGGTAGTAGGAAAAAAAAAAATACCTGTGTGATTGATTGGTTTAACTGCTTAAGAGAACTTACCATGAGTTTTCCAAATAAATTAGAAATACATGAACAAATTGTAGAGACATTCCAGTGTTTAAAAACGATTGAAGATGGCTTTGCTTTGGGTCAGACTTTGTTTTTATTAACTTCTTTGCTTTGCTAGGCGTGGGGCCCAGGGCGTGGGTAGGCAGGGCATGTGCTCTACCGCTAAGCGACACATCCTGCCCTGGGTCAGACTCTTGCTTCTGATTTCTGTTGGTATCAGATGTCCACAGGGACCTCTGTCTCCACGGAGAAAGCCCTTGGGCCAGGGTGGGGGCTGCCCAGGGCTGGTGATGGGCGTGGGCACACATGTTGGTGGAGCATTCATGGCGCAAGTGTTTTTAGTTAGTTGCACTCGTTTCTGTTGGTGTCTCGATGCCAAAGTTGCATGCATTTTGAGGGGTCTGTTCTTGCTTTGGTTTTCCTCTAGTCTTGTTGTTTTCTAATGCATGATTTTACAAAAATGTCACTTTGTGATGAAAACATCTGCATGCCCTCATCCTTGGGAAGCCCTGTGCCCTTCTGGAGACTTGGTGCCGGATGATGGCCCCGAGAGGCCATGGTGCCGCAGGAGAGGCTCAGAGGGACAGGAGGGGGGACTTGGGGCACCTGGTTCAGCACCCACAGGCCTCGCTCCTGCCTCTCTTCTCTCTTGCTTCCCAGTGTGCAGCCTCAAGGAGAGGAAAGGAGGTGGCTTCTCAGGAGGCCCAGCTCTGCAGGCCTGAGCCTGGCACCGTGGGTTCAAATCTGGGCACGGCCACTCTCTCGCCCGGTAACCTGGGCATATTGTGGTTTCTTTCTATGCTTTGGTTTCCCTGTCTGTAAAATGGGGATTCTAATAGGTCTCAGCTTGGGGGTTGCGGCAAGGGTTCAGTGAGATGAGCAGGGCTGGTAACTCAGCTGTCTGTGCTTTCCACTCCGTGATGTGAGCGTGATTTGTTAGAGCAAGTGAGGCTAAGGGCATGCCAGGTATGGTGGCCTAGCCCGGGGTGCTTGCTCATGGGACAGTGTGGGTGGCAGAGGGCCAGGTTTGTGGCAGCGCTGTCCTTTCCTCTGAGTCCCTGTGTCACTAAGGCAGCTGTCAGCAGGAGAGGGAAAGCCTACCAGGGAAGGGTGGCCCCAGTGGGTTCAGCACAGGACCTGGACATGGCACATGTGACATCTGAGCCCTGCCATTGACCGGAAGTCACCTGGCCCTCCTAGCTGCTGGAAGACTGCTCCCCTGTCTAGACCTCTATCGCTGTGGGAGGAAAGGAGAACAGTGTTGAGAAATACGCCAGGGTGAGCGTTCCACAACCATCCCCAGCTCACAGCGAGGAAACCTGCTCAGACTCACGTCAGCAAATGGTGCTGCTCGGCCTCTGCATCCGTGGGCTGCGGCTGTGGAAGGCACACTGCACTGACTGAACGGAAGGTATTTGGAAAAGAAATCATCCACATAGATTTTCTTTAATTACTCCTTAAATAATACAGTATAATATCTACAGAGCATTTATATTCTTTTTTGAGACAGGGCTCACTCAATTGCTAAGATGCCCAGGCTGGGGTTGATAGCCTTCTGCCTCAGCCTCCCAGGCAGAGTGTTGGGATTATGGGTACACGCCACCACAGCTGGCTGAGTGTTTCCATTGTGTTAAGGATTATAAGTAGTCTAGAGATGATTTCAGCTGCGTAGGCCGATGTGCATATGGGGGACCTGAGCGTTCTGGGTGATGGGTCTGCACCCTCACAAAATTCTACCCGGCCATCATAACAACCAGTTAGTGTGGCATGGGCATCCCAAGCCAATGAGCTGCCCCTCCGACACTGACTTCTGTCTTCTTCCCCCTGTTAACCTCAAACTTCCTCCTTTGTTTGTACCCCTTTGTTTGCACCCAAAGCCTTGCCCAGTCAGCGCCCATTATGATACCTTATGGCCTGTACAAGCTCCACCCCCAACCCAGCTGATTCATTCTTTGTCCTCCTGCCTCCTCCCCGAGGGCTGCTTCTTTTCCTCAGCAGCCCTCTTGTGCCAAGCAATAAAAAATTTCTTTACTTCTCTCCTGCTTTTCTTTTGCGCCAGAGGAAGGAAATTTACATTTGGATTTTGGTACCCCACAAATGCCGGGGATGCTTGGAATGGAGATGAGGTGTGAGCCCAGAATTCCAGCTCCCCAGCCCTGCCCCATTCCATCACCAGGAGCTACGTGGGTGCCAGCTGGGATTTCCTCTTGGACAGGAGCCAAGGCTGCAGGGGAGCACGGTCCCGGTCCCATTCTCGATGCACAGTGCCGAGGCCAAGTGTGGGCTTCAGGGTTTCTGTGAAGATGTTGGCGAGAACAGCAGGCTCTGCCTCTCCTTCCGCCCTTCCTGCGGGTCCTCTTCACATCTTGGAAAGAGCTCTCTCCTCCATGCCAGGTCACCCCTGGCCAGTGCTTTGCTCTTTCTCCTCCTTGGTCTTAGCGGTGTCCCTCTTCCTGTGACCTCCGAGCCCAGGTGCTCATGGTATACCTGCTGCGGTCCTGGCAGTGGCAGCTGCAGGTTCTGCTCTGCCTGTGTTCAGAGGTGCCTGCAGCCTTCTCCATGTTGCTGTGAAGATAGTCACAGTGGTAGGTTGAGTGCTGCTGTCACCCCTTGCCCACCTTCCTCTTGCCCCAAGGGGATGTTTCTAAGGTGTGTGATTCTGCACCTGCAGCCACTAAAGCCACACTTGGCCTCCCAGGGCCTCTGGGACAAATGACAGGCATCTAGGCCTAACACCTAGGACAGCCACATCATCCCCGCACCTCTGTCCCCTCAGCAGTCAGGCCTTGGGGAGACACAGAAGTCACTGAATGTGCTTCCTGCAAAGAGACCCTAATGGAGCACTGACTTCTCGATAGGAGGATGCAGTTACCCAAGGCAGCCAGGGTGCAGTCGGGGAGTAGAAGCATGGTGGGGGGAGGCACAGGATTGAGAGGAAGTAAGGGAGAAACATGGACAGTCACCACCTCTGCCACCACGCCTTTCTGCTGTGAGTGCATCCTATTGGCCCAAAGCCCTGGTCCCAGGATGACCGACCCCCTGCAAGGGCTGATGACTGTGTAGGGAGAAGGGCAGGAGGTGGGCCTGGGACTGCAGGGGCAGCCATGCAGGCATTCAGCACAGCCCTGCCCCAGCTGCTGGCCCTGGCCCAGGCCCCTTTTGCAGTAGCCATTCTTGCTAGGACACCAGCCATCTCCATCTCAGAAACCCCTGCATCACTGGTCTAGTTTCTAGCTCTTTCCTTTGCCTCTACCCTTGTCCCCCACCCTGGACGCGGTCTGCTTGCCCATGTCTTCCTGCCCTGCGCAGGGCCAAGGTCCTCACAGGAGTGACGCAATGCTGGAAGGGGGCTGGGGGTAGGGGGAGATGGGGTCTGTGGGGAAGGGAGTGGGTTTGCTGAACTAGTGCTCAGGACATGATATTTTAATGTAGTATTTTAAATAGTCAAATCAATAAACTACAGCCCTTGTGTCAGTGCCTGTTTTATTTTGTGCTCCAGTGTGGTGTTTAAACTTTCTTTTCTTTTCTCCTTTTCTTTTCCTTCCTCACTCCATCCCTCCTTCTCTCCCTCACTTTTTCTTCTCTTCCTCCTTTCCTCTTTCTCTGTCTCAGCACTAGGAAGTCAGCCTCGGTCTTCACATTGAGCTAAATCCTCAGCCTCTTTTTATTCTTTATTTTGAGCAGGTCTCACTCAGTTGCCCAGCTGCGTTTGAACTCGGTGATATCCTCCTGCCTCAGCCTCTGAGAGGGTTGGGATTACAGGTGTTCCTGAGGGGTGGAGCCTTGTTTACCTTGGTTCTGCTGTCTGCTCAGCTCTGAGAACAGTGCCCATGGAAGAGGCTTCATAATGAACTGCTGTTTGAGTGAACGAGTGGGTGCTGAACACAAGGATTTGGGGCTCCCCAACATGGGCTTCTTTAACTGGCTTGTTTTCTTCCTCATCCCAGTTTACCTCAGGGCCCCAGCTTTGCCCGGGACACCCTGGCACTGCCACCATGGGAGCCTCAGTGGGCCTGCTGCTCCTGAGCCTGCTGCTCCTGCTGCCCTGCATCCCCGGCCTGCCCTTCTACAATGGCTTCTACTATAGCCCCGGTGGCAGGAACCTGGGCAGTGGCCACAAGGAAGGTGTGTGTCCCCAGACTCCCGGGGTGAGGACAGGGCGCAGCACAGCAGCCTCCAGGCTCTTAGGGCGGACCAGCCTCCCTTCTGGTGAGAAGAAGAGGTGGCTCAGTTGCTCTGCGTTTTTATCTGAGACAAAGTCTAAGTCACTAAGGCTGGCCTCAGATATGCATCCTCCAGCTTCAGCCTCCTAGGTAGTTGGGGTTATAGGTGTGACTCGGCATTTAGCTTTTAATGCCCAACAAAGCACACCTTAATGTAACGGGTTGAGACAGCAGGCATTTTCTTATGGTATGAGTCCATGGCTCTGTGTTCAGGAGGGGGCAGCTGGGTGCCTGACCATGTGGGGCTGCTGAGGGTGTGGGGTGGCTGTGCCCAGCCCAGGTGGGCTGCATCAGGGCCACTTCGCCTCCAGGCCTTTTCAATGGAGTAAAGCTGGTGGTGGAGACACCCGAGGAGACCCTGTTCACACACCGTGGTGCCAATGTGACCTTGCCCTGCCGCTACCACTACGAGCCGGCCCTGGCGTCCTTGAGGCCTGTGCGCATCAAGTGGTGGAAGCTATCGGAGAATGGAGCCCCGGAGCAGGACGTGCTGGTGGCCATCGGGCAGAGGCACCGCTCCTTCGGGGACTACGAAGGCCGTGCGCACCTGCAGCAAGACCGGGAGCGTGAGGCCTCGCTGGAGCTGCAGGACCTGCGGCCTGAGGACTCCGGGCGCTACCGCTGCGAGGTCATCGATGGGCTGGAGGATGAGAGTGGTGTGGTGGAGCTGGAGCTGCGGGGTGAGGCCCCAGCCTTGGGCAGGCACTGCGGGACCTGAGAGGGGCGGGGAGGGGAGGGGAGGGTCCTGGGAAGCACCCAGGGCGTCGTGCTTCCCACACACGAGCACATCCTCTCCTCGGGGCAGCCCAGGAAGGAGCTCCTGTTCTCATCAACCCCATTTTACAGACGAGGACGCACAGCGAAGTCAGGTACACAGCTGGCAAATGGCACAGCTGGCACTTGAACCCGGGCAGCAGCCTCCAGAATCCACTGCCTTTATTCTGTCAAGCTCATGTCCCGCTCAGAGAGCAGAACATAGGAGCTGGTCCCACAGCCCATTAGAGTAGGGGCTGAGAAGCAGGCCGGGCTTGCAGGCAACATGAGCCAACAAGGCAAGCCAGGGAGAGCTGGGGCCTGGGGCACATGCTGAGCCCCTGCCCATTCCAAGGGAGCTGCTGTCCTCAGGCCCAGCTGAGGGGGGCAGAGTTTCTAATTTGATAGAAAATCTTGTTTTTTTATGCAGAAGAGCTGATTTTTTATGCAAGTCTACTTTTAGAAAAGCCCCATTGCTGAGCAAAGCACCAGACCCTGCCAGCCAGGTCTTATGTGTGGGCCCAGGGTGAGATCCAAGTGGCTGTGACTTCTCTGTCTCTGGCACAGGGCCCTGTGTGCTGTTGTGTGTCCTCTCCATTGGGGAGGCAGCTGTGTGGAAGAAGAAGCTCTGACAGCACCCAGAAAAGCCGCCCCCAGAGTGCTGGTTCTCCTCCGTGTGAACAGGGGAGCTGTTCATCTGCTTCAGTGGTCAGGGGGAGAGACACATTCAGGTTTTGTAGCATCTCTGCTTCTGCAGGCTCAGACAGTGGCTCAGAGGGGTCACTCTGCTCCTGTTGAGCTAGGAATGATGGGGAATGGGGAAAGCTTCAAGAGTCATTCCTCTGAGTCTGCAGGGGCAGACTAGAGACACCGGGAGCTCCACCCTGTTCTTGGGGATATAAGGGTTGGAAATTTGGGGTGGGACCAGGTCTCTCTGCAAACACAGATAGCTTCTGAGCTGATTTTTCAGGGCTGTGGACTTCTCTGCACCTCTACCTGGTTTTGTCCATGTGTCTGGCTTCCTGCTCCAGTGACACTGGTGGTCTGATGCTCGGAATGTTCTCAGGTGCCCAGCCATAGGGAGGAGCTCCGAGGGCTCCCAGTCCTGCTTCTAAACAGCACAAGCTAATTAAGGGTCCCCTCCTGAACTCCTAGGCTTAACCCCACTCCTTAAAGTTTCATTTGATTTGATAGAGACAGAATTTTAGATGTTTAAAGTCACAATAAAATTTCCAACGTGCATGGTAACTTTTTTTTTGTATTTTAGGGAAGGATCGACAGGGTGTTCAGGGTCTTACTACTAGATCAGACTCATAGTGATCCACCTGTTTACAGCCTCCCAAGAGCTGGGATTACAGCTGCATGCCACCACGCCCAGTTTCAATTGCTGTCTCAGTGTGCGCTGGGTGCCGGGCCAGCACCCTAGGCCCAGGGATCAAACCCCTGGCCCCTGTGCCTGCTTGTAGGCACTTTAATCTGCTGAGCTATTTGACTGGCCCATGCATGGTAACATTTGAGGGAGGCCTGTGTCCCCTGTCTGATCTGTCAACCATGAGAGAGGCCCCTGCTCCAGGACCTCCCTTGTTCTTTTTATTTAAAGTCCTTGAGGCTGGCAAGATAGCTCAATGGTCTAAAGTGCCTGCTCAGGCAAACACAGGGACCAAAGTTCAATCCCTGGTACCACACGCTGCATCAGCCCTGCCCCCAGGGTGTGCTTAACCAGCCACAAAAGTAAATAATTAATTAATTTAATTAATAAAGGCCTTCACCATTCTTTTTCTCATGGCTACTGTGGCTTCTTTCTCTGAACTTGCCTGAGAAATGTTCATACTAATAATGACCTATATAATTGGTCCTCTGTATCTGTGGGTTCCACATCTATAAATTCAACCAACTCACAGATCAAAAATATTCAGAAAAATTACAAAATGTTCCAAAAAGGAAAATTAGAATTTGGTGGATACCTAACACTCTGCTGAATCCTGGAGAAATGATGTATAGCCACTGTGTTAGGCATTATAATAAGCAGATGGTTTATAGATTTTTTTTTTTTTTTTTTTTTTTTTGGTGGAACCGGGGATTGAACTCAGGCCCTTGTGCTTGCCAGGGATGCACTTATTCCACTGAGCCATCTCCGCAGATGGTTTAAAGCAATGGTCTCCAACCTTTTTGAAACCAGGGACAGATTCTGTGGAAGATAGATTTTTCACAGTTGGGGAGGGGATGGCCTTGAGATGAATTGAGTGCATTACATTTTGTGCACTTTATTTCTATTGCTATTACATTGTGATGTAGATGTCTTTGCTAATGTAAATCTATATTCGCAGCTGCTCCCCATTGCTAGCTTCACTGCCTCAGCTCTACCTCAGGTCATCAAACATTAGATTCTCATAAAGAGCAGGTAACTTAGATCCCCTGAGTGTGCAGTTCCCAGCAGGTTACTCTTTTACAAATCTAATTTTGCTGTTGATCTGTCTGGGGGAAGCAACTCAGTGGTAACTCAGTGGTGGGGAGTGGCTGTAAGTAAATACAGATGAAACTTCTCGTGCCTGTTGCTATCCTGTCTACCCTGTGTCCCTCTCTTCCCGTCCTCAGGTGTGGTCTTTCCCTACCAGCCCCCCCAGGGCCGCTACCAGCTTAACTTCCATGAGGCCCAGCGGGCCTGTGAGGAGCAGGGTGCAGTGGTGGCCTCCTTTGAGCAACTCTTCCGTGCCTGGGAGGAGGGCCTGGACTGGTGCAATGCTGGCTGGCTACAGGATGGCTCTGTGCAATATCCTATCACTCTGCCACGGGAGCCCTGTGGGGGCCTGGGTCTGGCACCTGGTGTGCGCAGCTACGGCCCCCGCCACCACCGTCTGCACCGCTATGATGTGTTCTGCTTCACTGCTGCCCTCAAGGGTGAGTGGGGTGCTGAGCCCAGGCCTGTGGGTGTGGTGGGAGGGCAGCACCTGGGGGTTTTCTGGACCCTTCTGCCTGCTCACTGGGCCCTCACCTGGAGGCCTGGAAGACCAGCAGTTCTGAAAGCAACATACGTGGAGTTTAGAATTTTTTTGCAGCTGTTTCTTCCTGTGCACTCTTGGCTTATTAGCTTGTCAAACACTTTTTGAGTGTCTTCTCTATAGTGGGGCCTAGCCCAGACTCTGGTATCATAGACAAATAAAACACATCTGTGCCCATGAAACAGCCCGGTCCACTGGAAGATAAACACACAGGACCTAAAATTGGCTCTGTGCTGTGTCCCAAGACCTTGGAAAAGTGTCTGGTACACACTGGTACTCAGTAAATGACTGAATGCTTGAGAGACTCTAATGGGCCCCTCCCAGGCTGGGTGTGTTTGGGGAAGGGTGGCAGGGGAGGGACTCGTGCCCCATGGCAGATGCGGTGTTGGGAAGGTAGGATGAAGCCTGGGAAGGTGCCTCCCAAAGTGCCACTGTAGATAAGCACAGTGTGGCCGCCTGGATGGGCAGTTGCTGCAGCCCCTGTCCCCAATAGTTGCTTCCATGCCTGCTACCCACACTCACGCTTGCTGTTCCCCAGGGCAGGTGTACTACCTGGAGCACCCCGAGAAGCTGACGCTGACAGAGGCCCGAGAGGCCTGCCGGGAAGACAGTGCCCACATTGCCACGGTGGGCCAGCTCTTTGCTGCCTGGAAGTTCCGTGGCTTGGACCGCTGCGATGCCGGTTGGCTGGCAGATGGTAGCACCCGCTACCCAGTGGCTCACCCCCGCCCCAACTGCGGGCCCCCGGAGCCTGGGGTGCGGAGTTTCGGATTCCCGGACCCACAGAGTCGCTCCTACGGCGTCTATTGCTACCGCCAGAGCTAGGCTGCATCAAGTCTATGGCTACTACCCTCCTTCTCAGCTCTGTATTTATGGACTGGTTCCTATTCCCTTGTGGTTTGAGACACTTTTTGCATTTTTTTATACTTTCTGACTTAAAGTTTAGAAGTATTATTTCCTGGTAATAGCAACTCCCAGCTCCTTGGACGCCTCAGGTTCTCCAGGCTCTCAGAAGGGTCTCTGCCATCAGATCCTAGGCTACCTCCATGCCCCGCCTCAGCCTGGGGAAGCAAAGGGTCCAAGGGTGGGGTGGGAGAGTCTTTCATTTCCAGAGTGGCTCCCTAGGTCTCTGGGCGAAACCCTCTCCGCTTTCTTCTGGTTCCAGAACCTGTGTTGTTTTTATGTTTCCCTCTTTGGGGGCTGTTGGGTCTTTGGATAATAAATGGTGCTGTTGCTCTTTCTCTATCCTTGGCCTCTCTGTGTCTTGATCCATCTCAGGGCTCATCTTGCTCGGTCATGGACTGTAGAGGTGGGTGGGCTGAGAACTCCATGGCTGCCCCTCTGGGCTGAGTTGGCTCTGCCAAGGTTGGCCTAGCTCCAGGGGCCCTAGCTGGCGTCCCCTTGCCATATGACTCTTGCAGGTCCCAGCATAAGAGTGGGAGGTGTCTCTCAGGAGATACGAGGCCTTGAGGCCTCAGCTGACCCTCTCTGTGCCTTACCTCACCTCTGCCTAGGAAAGCAACCCCACTCCCACTCCTGCTGCCAAGAAAGTCTGGCCACTTGCTGTCAGTTATTCAGTCTGTTTCCCCCTGGCCTAGTGCTTCTCAAAGTGTGGCCAGCTGCAGCACTCAGAATTTGTTACAAATGCAAATTCCTGGGCCTTGCCCCAGACCTGCAGAGTCAGAACCTTTGACCTCACGCTCTGTGTTACCACAAACCAGCCAGGGAATCTGATGCATGTTCAAGTTTAAAAGCTTCAGCATAGAAAGCTCTCTCATAGGCAACCCCTGTCTTATGATAGTGACTTTTTTTTTTTTAAGTCAGCTTCCTGTTACTATAACAAAGTATCTAAAATAATTAACTTGTTTTTTCAGTACTGGGGATTGACCTCAGGGGGTATTGAGCTATACCCTAGCACCCCTTTTTCAGTTGTTTATTTTGAGGTAGGATCTTGCTAAATTCAGGCTGGCCTTGAATTTGTGATTTCTCCTACCTTAGCCTCCCTAGTAGCTGGGCTGTGTGAGTGCCTCACTGCTCCTAGCCGAGATAAATGACTTGTGAAAAGAAACGCGTTGTTTGGGCTCCTGGTTTGGGCAGCTCTGGTCCAAGATCGAGGCCCTGTTGCTTTGGACCTCTGATGAGCAGCGCTTCAGAACTGGTGGATGTAGCGGAGCAGAAAAGACCAAGAAGCTGGTGTCCCGCTGTCCCTTAAAAGGCGCCTGCAGGGACCTGAGGACCTCCCTGAACTCCCCAGCTCCTCTCCCACAGGTTCACAGCTCCTTCCAGTAGCATGACCACTGGGCCGAGCCTTTAACACAGGCTTTGGGGCTGCATATAACATCCAGATTGTACCCAGTGGCAGGAATGTGACGAGCATTCAGCAGAAGTCCTACTTTGAATTTTTAATTTGATTTCTCCTGTAGGCTAACCCAGTCCTCTCAGGGTGCTGGACTCGGTAACCAGCTCCTGTTCACCCACTAGAAGCAGTGCGTGTTCTCCAGTGCACTGTGTTACAAAGTCTAGTGCTTGGAGGGTTAGGCGGATTAAATGCATTTGCCTCCCGGGATGTGATGTACACCTGAAATCCCAGCACTCGGGAGACTGAGGCAGAGAATTTGGCAGGAGACAGAGAAGGATGCAGGAGGATAGGGAATTTGAGGTCAGCCTGTGCAATTTAGGGACACCCTGTCTTAAAAAAATTAAAAGAGTTGGGGATATATCTTAGTGGGGAGCACCTCTAGGTTCAATCTCCAGTACTACAAAAAACGCAAATCTGAAAGCGCATTTCCTTTTTCTTTTGTTATTTCCCCTTCCCTTCCTTCGAAGTGCTAGAGATCAAACCTAGGGAATCATTCTAACAGTCAGTGATACTCCAAAACCCCTAAGTGTGTGTGTGTGTGTGTGTGTGTGTGTGTGTGTGTGTAATGGTAGGGCTCGGACCCAGGGTTTTAGGCTGAGCTACACCCTCATCTTTCTTTTTAATCTTAAATTTTATTTATTATTTTTTTTTCTGTATTTTAGGGAAGGGTCTACAGGGTGTTCAGGGTCTCACTACTAGATCAAACTCATAGTGATCCACCTGTTTACAGCTTCGCAAGAACTGGGATTACAGGCATGCACCACCACGCCCAGTCTCAATCGCCATCTCAGCACACCCTGGAGGGCGGGGCCGGCACGGCATGCCAGGGGATTGAACCCTAATCTGCTGAGCTATTTGCCCCCCACCATCTTAAATTTAAAAAATTTGAAGCAGGGTGTCATTAAGTCACTAAGTTACTCAGTCTGGGCTTGAATTTGCAGTCCTCCTGCCTCAGCCACCAGAGTGCTGGGATGCAACACCATGATTGGCTCCAAAGGTGCTTTTGACATGTGATATTTTAGGGTTTTTTTTTTTGGAGGCTCGAAATGCCTTTAGGGCATTTCTGTTTGCAGTGACTGTCTGGGTTCGAACCAAAGAAGCTTGAGCTTGAGGGCTTTGCTTAAGCAGGCACTTAACTGAGTTACTGGGGAGGCCCCCGACATGTGATATTTTAAAGAAACACTTTTAAGTCAGTTTACTATATCCACGAATCACATAATTACCGAGCCGCTTGTCTTTGGCCCAGGTCTGCCTTCTTTGGCCCAGGTCTGCCTTCTTTGGCCCAGGTCTGCACTCTATTCCTTCTAGAGCTGTAAGTAACTGGTCCCACCAGTCAATACACAGTCAGACACACAACCACACCTGCAAAGGTACGGGCTCACACAGAGGCACACCAGCAGGCTCTGGCAGTGCCTTGTGGGCACGTGGAGCGACCGTGATGAGGGAGGCGTCCTGAAGAGGTGGTGGTGCTGGGGGAGGTCACTACCTACCTGGTCTGCACACTCCTGCTTAGCTCTCAGTTTTGGGGAAGATCCACGAACACTTAAGCCTGGTTGCACGGACTCCCTATAGACTGCAGAGAGACAGCACGCTGCCCTCGTCTGCAAGGAGCCAAGAGCCAGAGAGCCCTACAAATCGGAAAGCTGCTGCTCCTGCACTGTCTGTGGTTTGTTTTTCAGTTCCCTCTTTCAGATCCTGATGTTCTGCTCTGCTTTTGGATTCGGGAAGAGTGTGACATCAAAGACCACATGAGACACAGCCATGTAGTTGCACTAGTTATTCTTTTGCAAATCCACACAGCACCAAGGACTGACCTGTGTCATGCACTTACATCCAAACACATCGTGTGTGTCCACACACACACCCCTCATTCTCATACACACAGAGAATCCATCCAACACATTGTCACTGTGGTAAAAATAAACAGATGAATCTGTCCTAGGCGGGCTCTGAACAGACAGGAGTCACACGCATGTGGGGTCATTTGATCAAAATGTGCCCTCATGGCCATCTTTCCTGAGAGCCCTTTTTGTAGGCCCCAGGTTGTGGTTTGCCTGCTCCTTAAATTGAAAAAAGGGAAAAGAAAAGAAATAGATCTCTTCCAATGTCTTTATTATAATTATCATAATCTTTAGTTTTCAAAAATATAAATAGGTGCACGGAACCCTGGTGCCTGCACCGTCCCGAGGATGGGGGAGGAGAGGGGGTGGGGAAGCCCCCTGGGAAGGATGTGCCCCCACCCAGCCCTGCTGAGAGATGACACCTGCTAGGGTGGCTGACCGGGTGAGAGGGCCCTGGAAGGGGACCCTTGGAGGACAGGTGACCCCCACGTTGCCAAAGATCCTTCTGATATGGCTCTTTCCTCTTGCTGGTCCCCCAGCTTCTCTTGTCATAGATGATGGGACCCTCCTGGCTCCTTGTGTCCCCTACATTCAGCTGCGGTCATAGGATCTGAGTCCTGGCCTCAGGCCTCTGCCCCTTCCAGCTCCTTGCTACTCCCTCCCTCTGCCTTAGCTCTCCTGGAAGTGAAATAATCAACCATTGCACTGCTCCTGGATAAAGTCAGGAAACAAAAAATAATCTTCTTTATTTAACTTAACCCCTTCCCTTCTCCCCCTGTCCCTGTGCTGGTCCCTGGAAAGGCACGATGGGAGATTGAAGAAACGTCTCTAAACTCAGTCCACGGGTCGCGATGAGCTCGCTTTGCTTTGGCATTGGGGGGACAAATTAGACGCGGTTTTGGAGATTTGGGGGCGGGTGGGTGCACACACAATGTGGGGTTTATGTTTTTCTTCTTTAATGGGATTCCTTATATGACAAAAAGCAACAAGAAGAGGACACCATCGGGTGGGCGGATGCGCAGTCTGGTCAGCCCGGTGGGCTCCTGGGCTCAGCGTCCTGGGTGGTCCCGAAGCTCCTCTCAATGGCCTGAGCTTGGGCGGCTCTGCCGCGAGCTCCGCTTCTGTAGTCGGCGCTTGTAGGTGGTGGCTGGAGGGCAGGGACACGGGAAAGCACGATGAGCGAGGGGAGGGGAGATGCGGCCGAGCCCCAGCTCCCCTTGTCTGCCTCCACTGGCACCCTCCTTGTGCATACCAGGGGCGGGAAGGCAGCCTGGAGCTTTACCAGAGCCCGGGTGTGATTTTTTTCTTGAACCTCCTTGGGCTGGGGTTCAGGTTGGGGGTGGAAAGGGAAGCAGGCCACTTGTGCTCCCTCAAGCTCCCTCCTGGGGCAGGCGGCAGTGATCAATTCCCGGAGGGCGAGGACCCCCGGGAAGTAGCCACCCCGGGCTGTGCTCTGGGGACAGGGAGGGGGAATGCTCACGGTCTGTGCAGGTGATCCGAGGCTCCTCCCAGCGCCCGCTGGGCTGGCACCGGATGGTGGGCACGTGGCGCTGGACAAAGCCCTCTGTACACTGGTACCGCACCAGGGAGTTAATCTCGTACCGGTCCTTCTTCTGCCCCAGGGTCCTGGCGTGCTCCACCGTCGGGGGGTTTTCGCAGGCCACTAAGGAGCAAACACCCTTTTAAAAGGGGTGTCCCGGGGCTTCTGCCAGGACCCTGGGGCCTTGAAGGACACTGAGCGACCCCTATCGGCGGGCGAGCCCTGATTCCTTGCAAGAATCCGAGCCGTGGGGTCTAAAGTCTTGGCTTCACACTCAGACCTCTGCGCTCCTCACCTGTGCCCTTTTTACACGTGAAAGGGAGGTGATAATTGCAGGGGACATCGTTCCACTCGCCCTTCTCGTGCCAGATCATCACCACACAGTCCTCTCCCGTGGCGAAGAAGTTGTCCGGCTGGTTGGGACGCCACTTCTCATATTGCTGTGGGCAGGAGTGGGAAGGGGTGAGTGGTGGGCGGGAGAAATGAGACTGGCCTGGCCCTGTGCTCTTCCCCAGCTGGCCTGGCCTGTCTTCTTTTCTCCTTCAGTCTGACTTCGGGTTCATCTGGGCGCTGGTGAATGCGGGTGGGAGGTTTGTGGCCAGGGTTGTGGTGACACACGGAAGCCATGGGCTCTCTAGGGGCCGCTTACGTGGTTGGCCGTTTCTCTGCAGGAGCCCACACTCCCAAGGTTTGGCCCCTGACCGGAACTGGCCCTTGGCTGCTGGGCGATAGTGATGCTCAGGCTTCCCACAGGGCATCTGTGCGGCCTGCCTGCCTGTCTCTTCATGTAGACATGAGTCTTCCGTGGGTAAGGGGCCTCTCACAGATCTGTGGACCCCTCATGATGGCTTGCTGTCACTTGTGCATCTCCCTCCTGGCTCCCTCCCTGTCTTCATGCCTGTGCTCAACCTGCCCAGCTGGGGAGAAGGTCCCCAGGGGTAAAGGGGCAGTAGGCACAGCCTCCGGGCTCTGTTCCAGTGGCTGCTCAGGGAGTGTGTGCATGGCATTTGGAGGCATCTTTCTTTCTCCCTGGAATCTTCATCCCACCTCCCTCTTCTCCTCAGCTGGTGTACCTGGTGGAACTCACCAAGGGATGTCCATCTGACCAGCGGAAGTCCCCTTCGATGGTCCTGTCATTCAGGCCAACCCATTGGTAGTCCTGAGCATTTCCTGGAGAGAAAGGTGGCTTGTGACCTGGGGTTGGACACCTGGGGATGTCTGAGGACTGCAGCTAATGGAGAAGATGTGAATGGAGGAGGAAGAGGATCTTGTAAGGCCATACAAGGGTCCCAGCACTTGTGTGTTGGTGTACACTTTGGATCCCCTGACCCCAGCCTGGCATGGGCTGGTGACAGCTACAGAGTTTTTTCTTGGGCTGTTTTTAACTGTCAGAGGGCTGTCCTGCTTGTAGTCAGAGCCAAAGGCCCCAAGGACCTTTGTGTTCAGGGAACTCAGGCTGCGGGAGCCCCTCCCTCCCAGCTTCCAGCCCTGCCCCCTCTCTGGATCCAGTCTGCCAAATGTTTTTCTTTACTGGTTTAGCAGTATGGGGGAGGAGCCCAGGGCCTCCTGGGTGCTGAGCAGGAGTCCTACCACGGAGCTACACTGCCAATCCCCAGTCTGTGATACCTGGACAATGAAGGCCTCAGTCCCTGGAGGTTCCCCACACTCACTGTTGACAAAGTCCTGCTCCTCGGGGGTGATGATGCTGCTGAGGTGTGACTGGTGCTCCCGACACCGCCTCTCGGCATCCACCCAGGTCTCGCGGTCAGGGAAGTGGCGGTAGCAGTGGCCCTGGAATTTGGTCCAGCCCTCCTCACACACCTCCTGGTCTGTAACACAGGTGGGGGCCTTGAAGGGGGCTCTGAGGCCAGCTGGGCATCTGGTTGCTGCCAGTCTGTGGCCTGGTTTCCTATATTCAGCCCACCTTAAATGCTGTGCCCTTGAGGAAGGGACAGACCACCCTGGAGCCAGGTTCATGTTGGCAGCCAGGCGGCCTGGCCCCTAGGGCCCTGTGGGTATGCCCCGCCTCTGGGGACCATTTCTCTGCCTGATGGGGTGCCACCCTTTCCTCCCTTATCCTCCACATCTCAAGCTCTCCTCCTGCAGATGGCTGCTGTGGAGGCAGCAGAGTCAGCAGGCCAGCTCAGGAAAGGTTATGAGATTTAAGGTACACACAGTGCACAGGCTCTGGGGGGGACTCCAGAGATAGGAGCTGTGGGAGGAGGGGAGTCAGCAGGGGGCAGGACTGGCATTAGCTACATTCCTGCAGATCCTTGGGCAGGGATGGTGGGTTTAGAGGAAAGTCAGAGCTCTAAGGTCACTGATCTGCACAGGCTCTGGCTGGGCACATTGTGCCTACTTCTCAGAGGGTGACACAGCTGACTAGGAGCCCCAGATTCAGGGTCCTTGGCTCTTTAGATTCTGGTGGCAGATGAGGAGAAGAGGGGAGCCTCTAACTTTGTAGTGGGTTCTCCTTTCTGGAAAAAGGGCTGATTTGGAGAGCTCAGAGTAGCCTAGGATCTGGGGACATCACATTGGTAATTTTGAATTGGCCCTGATGGGAGTATTTAATTGGCCCTCAGGGGTTGGCAGATGCTACCAATCAAGGACTCCTTTTCTTCTGTGGCAGGCAAGTGTTACACATCTGCCAGGGCAGCACAGAACAGAGGGAATGCCAGGTCCCTGTCTTCCTTCTTCCCATGGCTCCTTGGTGAAGAGCTATGGACGTCTTAGGATGTGTGGTCCCCTCCCATCGGGGACCACCAATATTTGGGTGTCTCAGGGAGGAAGGCCTGGTGCCTGAAAGACAGGAGCTCTAGTCCATGCAGTGGATGCTTGGCCAGCTTGGCAGAGAGAGCTGAGATGACAGCAGAGAGGACAGTAGAGGCCAGGAGCCTGAGGAGATTGGTGTAAGGGCAGGAGAATCTGGGAGAGCCTGTGGGGATCTTCTCACTACCAGTGTCCTCCCTCAGGGGTGGAAAGGGCTGGTAAGAGGCAAGGAGGCTTCTGAGGTAGCTCACTATTATGAGAAAAGAGACCCTGCTGTTAGGGCTGCCAGGGAGTAGGGGGGGTGGTGGTGTGGTTCCTGGGCCACCTCAGTGGCAGGGGGGTGAGCTGGGCAGGCAGAGCTAGTGGGTGGGGCTTCTGTGGGTGACTGGGTAGTGCCATGCAGGAGGGGGCACTGGAAAGAGAGACAGGATCTTGGGAGGCTGGAGCCAAAGTGCAGGCACTGGGGTGGGAGAAGGGACACAGCCTTGCTTCACAGGGCATTCAGGGCCAGCTTGGGGCTCCAGTTCTCCTCTCTGCTCCAGCAGGGTGCAGATGCCCCCTCTCTCAGGCAGGAGCCCCAGAACCCTTGTCTGTGTGGACATTGCAGACTCTCCTCCCCTTTGGCAGATGTTTTAGCATCCTGGGGAGAAAACCTACGTAGTGCTCTCCTCCCAGCCAAGCTGAGAGCCCATGCACTAATTTCTTAAAGTCTTGGCATGAAGATGGAGAGTAGAAGGCTGCAGGGCCAGAGGAGTGCCCCAGCCTTCTCATCCAGAAGCCTTAAACTCCTGCCAGCCTTCACCTTGGCAGTGTCTCTAGCAATGAGCCATTTGCACTGTATTCTCACTGCTTGACCCCAGAGGGAGACTTTCCAGGAATCTCAGCTGCTTTCTGGAAATTTCTGGGGTTCTAACTTGAGAATTCATTGAAAAAGCCTTTGAGCCTCTGCACACTTCCTGTTCCACGTGGCTCCCAGCACCCCAAAGCTCCATCTCTCCTTTCCTGAGCTGGGAAGTTCTTAGGATTGAGGAGTCTGAGGGAGAACCAGGAGGCCAGGCCTGGTGCTGAGAGGCTCCTGGAACACCAGTGCAGAGCGGAGGGGCTGGGCAGGCCCAAGACGGGCAACTGAGCCCCTGCCTCCTACAGTGACACTGTTCTCTCTCACCAGACCTTTGCCCTGCACAAAAGAGGGAAGAAAGGAAGGAGGGCAGGCATGGTGTTGACATGGCAGCTGTCATGTTGTGAGGAGAAGGTGACATGCAATAGTCTCTGTTCATGCGTGACTTGAGCATGCTGTTGCCTCGAGTACTCTCAGCAGACCAATCAGAAAGGCAATCTGGCTAGTGCGGCACGACGGTGCCTAAGGCCGTGGAGGAGCCACACAAGGTCCATAAGCAATACAGCGGACAGATGCTGCCTGTGACCACGCTGAGAAGATCCGCGGCTGTCACTGGAATGAGAACTGATCACTCCCTCCCATAGCTTCTATCCAGACAAAAGCAGAGAATCAGCTGGGTCCTCTTAGTCTGACACATGCACCAGACTCGGTGGTGACCTCAGAGTGTCTGCAAGCCCTGGAGAAGGTTAGTGTTTTAAAGGTTCCCAAAGCCTGGCCTGGGCATCTCCTGTGGTCAGATCAGCCAATGCCTGGAGGAGGGTTTTCAAGGGGTAGAGTAGGAGAGAGAGAGAAGGAATCAGTGGGGGCAGCCATGTCTCAGCTGCAGCCCCTGGAATGGCTATCCAAACAGACCTGGGTGCCCAGGTGGGGCCTAGATCCTGCTATTAGGAATAAAAAAAGGAGGGAGGGAGGAAGAGGGTGCAGCAGTTAGTAACATTAGCTGAAGCCGAGACGGCCGTACCGATCTCACACAGGTCCCCTCCGTAGCTGGGAAGGCATAAGCATGTGAAAGAGTCCATGGTGTCCACGCAGGTGGCTCCATTCAGACAAGGGCTTGAGAGGCACTCGTCAAGGTCTGCAAGAAACCAAGGGCCACCATTAGGACTCCTGCTGGCAATTCTAGCCTCACAGCACTGTAGCTTCCTTACAAGTGGCCAGCCCTGCTGTGCTCCAGAGCCCCGGAAGCGAGCTGGCTGGTTTTCCTGAGAACTGTTGCTATTGCTGCTGCTGCCATCTTGGATATACTGAAGCAGGGATCCAGAGAAGAACTGTCTTGGAGTATGTGAATCCTGCTTGGTGAGCTTGGAGTCTCAGAGCCAGGCTTCCCAGTGGGGGAGTGTGTCGTTTCTTCCAGGTACATTCTCTTGTATTTTAAGAACCCCAAGTGTAAATTGACTATGACTGCGGTGTTATCAAGGACACCAGAAGGCAAACTCTTGACGCTTCACTAAGAGTCTTCCTTGCCCTTGTTTCCTCTGTAGATGTGTGAGAAGCAGCCTAGAGGCGGTCTGCAGAGTGCAGATTCATGAGACAATGGCCATGTGGGATATTTGCAGGAGATCCACGAGACTTCTAAATTGCAATGTCCAGATGAATCCTGGCCAATGGATGGAGAGCATTTGAAGTTGGCCAGGTGCTTAGTAGATGGCCGCCTACCAGTAATGGGCTGGGATACAGGCTTCCCACCAGCCTCTTCCTCTGGCTCTTTGTTCCTTCTCTTCTTCTGAGCCCAAGCTGTTCTTTCTAGTCAAACTTGGTAAGTCATTGGCTTTTGCTTCAAGCAGCCAAGAATTCTATCTCTAGCTTAGTCTTTCTGCATCTTTTTGAGAATCCAGAATGTCTCCGTATGTATTCTGCTCTCTTTGTATTTGTGGTCCAAAGTTCTTGTGCACCAAAGCTTTTGCTGCTTTTTCCCCCCTGGGTTCCCTCCCCTGGTAAGGGGTATCATGCAGCTCCTTTTGCTAGGAGATCAATAAAATTTAGCAACAGCAGGTTCCACAGGTTTACAGGGCGTCAAGATACGGAGCTGGCAGGTGCTAAGCCGTGGTTTGTGCTGCTGAGCTCATGCAACCTTCAGGATCCAAGGGGATGTCTGTGGGTGTTCTCCTCTGAGCCTGTTTTGGGAATAGAGTCTCTGAGTCCAAAATATGTTCCAGAATAAGTATTGCCTCCCATGGAGCAAGGCAAACCTTAAAGTCAAGCCTCTGGTGGGATGGCAAACACCTTTTCCTCTGGGTCTTCACACTTATGTGTAGCAGACATCTTGAGATTGTGTAGTAGATGACCCTTAAAATCCTGGTTGTTTGGTATCTTGTCCAACAAAGCTCCTGATCTCCAGTTCTCTCTTTCCTTTAGGTCCTTAGCTTCATTTCACAGAGTGGACACCATGGATTAGAAACCCATAGTTCCAAGTTTGGAACTGTTCCAAGCAAACCCAAAATGCATGGAGGAACTGGGTGAAATCCCAGCATGCACTTGGAGTCCCAGCATGCACCAGGATTCCCAGCAGCAGCACTAGCAGCAATAGGTCAAGTCAGTTGGCAGGGTGAAGCTGGGGCAGCTCTCCTGCCTCAGGAAAGCTATGTCCTCTTTCATCCATTAGTGTCATTACAGGAGATGGGAAGCACTGGGTGAGGGGAATTAAGCAAATGTAGGCGCTCAAGCAGTTGTACAGAGCAGGGGATAGGGTGGCCTCTGGGGAGAAGAGTCAGATGTCAACCCTGGGGCTCCTGGTTGACCCATGGGAGAAAGGGTAAGAAGGTATGAGGCCAACAGGAAGTCCGGTCAGGTGGCTTCCAGGTGTTCCAGAGGCTTAGAGGTGGCACAAGGTCCTGGGGGCAGGAAGCAGTGTTGTGTCCTTCAGTGTCTGACCAGGCACAAATCTGAGAAGGCTTCGAGGACTGAAGGAACCAACTCCTGGGCTCAGAAACTGTTTTTTTTCATAGGGCCCTGGATTCACAGGAGAGGTAGGTAGGAAGAGCCAGCATCCTGAAAACCAGAGAGCTTGTGGGTACCCCTGGGGCACTTTAGAGGGGCTGAGCCGAGTCTTCAGCAGAGCAGAGGAGGCCGGTATTCTGGGGTCTTTCTCGTTAGCTGCTCAGGCCAGGGACCTCTCATCTCCTCTTCCTCTGGCTGCAAGAGCCGCTCTGGACCTGGCTGCCCACCTCTCTCTGTCAAGGGCAGTAGGAACACCCCTTGACTTCTGGGACCAAGAGAGGATTTGAGCTAGGTCCAGTAGTGAGCTCAGATGGGGGGGCATTCAGACAAGGGAACAGCAGGTGAAGGAGGGGAGGGCTTTGGGCATGGGTAGAGTTTGTGCAGGAAAGCAGGAAAGGGCAGGGACCAGGATCTGAGCAGACTCTGCTCATTCAAAGGCTCAGTGGTAAAGGTGTCATTGCATTAAGTGAAGGTCAGAAGAGATGGAGGAATCAGGAAATGATGTGGGACATCTGGTCTTTGTCCCACACAGAAAGAGAGATCCAGGCACCCTAGATGCCCAGCGCCTCGTTACTGTTTCTGTACAGCCACCAAGGGCTCACCTGTCATTGCTGAGCAGGGACTCAAGGGAGGGTCAGAGCTCTTGGGGTCCTAGATAACTGAAAGGGATGGTTTGTTCCTGGATGAGACCTCCAGCCGAATCTCTAATGTAGGAGAGGAAGTGGTACAGGCTAGAGGAGGAGAGACACTTGCAAATAGTCACTTGGCGTCTGACTTAGCGACCTCAGACCTCCACCTTGAACGGTCATGCCCAGGTTTTGCCTGGATCAGAGCCTAGGACCCTAAAGTGAGAGTTTATTCAACTCCTAGGAAATGTGAGTGGAGAGTGACAGCAGGTTTTACTCAAGTGATTCAAAACTGAGCGGTTTGCCATCCACAGAGAATACCGAATCAATGTATTATTCACATTATTCAGTGCCCAACCTGTACAGCTCTTTATGATAACCTAAGACATAACCTCTTGGAACAAGAATGGGGCAAACCTCCTCAAGGAGCACAGGCACAATGTTTTAATTCAGTGGATATTCTGCATCCTGCAGAAACCTAGGATCAGTCATGGTGGAGAAACAGGAGTAGATATACTGACTTCCTGGCTCGGCCTCTTGCACCATTGAGAAGAGCACATTTATGCTAAGAGTATACATATTTACACAAGTAGATTTCTCTGTCCCAGTTTGCTTTTAAAATAAATATCATTAAATTAGAAAGTGCGTTATTATCGATACTATTTCAATTTTTCTACATTTTAGAGGTTGATCTTTAATAGCCTGGATCTTTAATTAGGTGTCCATTAAAATATGCTAATAGAGTTTTTGGTTAAGTCAGGAGTTTATAAACTGAGTGTGGTGATGCCTGCGGTAATCTCAGCACTTGGGATACAGAGGCTGGAGGATTGCGAGCTTGAATGCAGGGCAACTTGGTGACTTAGGGAGCTCCTGTCTCAAAATAAAAATGGGTCAGGGTTATATATAAGAGAGAGAGAGAGAGAGAGAGAGAGAGAGAGAGAGAGAGAGAGAGAAATGTGTGGAACAGGAAAAGAAAAACGTGCATAAATATTTCATATCAAATTTCCCGAGACATGATGAGATTAATACAAGTTACCTCTCTACAGGTATAAGAGGAGCTCCAAGTGGTGGCTGTGAGCTTCCTGACATTTATTAGTAATATGACCTACTGAAGTATGTTGACATTGTTTTGGTGGTCTCTGTCTCTCTGTCTCTGTCTCTCTCTCTCCCTATTTTTCTTTTTCTCTCTTTTTAAAAGTTGCTTTAAAGAAATAAATATTTTGCTGCAATTCAAATGTTTCCTCTAGAGAGAAAGAGTGTCAGATCACAAATCAGATCTCTAAACCTAGAAAGGGAAAGTGGCAGTGAAGTAGAAAGGAGCTCACTAAGTTTTCCAAGTTTATTTCCTATAACCCAGGAGTGAAGAGAAACCCACTCGGCAGGATACAAAATGTGGTGAGAACAGTGTTTTTTAACCTTGGCTATACATTATCATTATTGGACTAGTTAACTTATTATTATTATTATTATTATTATTATTATTATTATTTTGTTTTTTGGTACGGGGAACTAACTCAGGACCTTGCACTTGCCAATTAGGTGCTTATGTAGATGAGCTATCTTGTTAGCCCTAACTTTTTTAACTTAAAGATTTTGTTTTTAAAAAACTAGGGTTCCTCACAAGACCAGCTGACTCAGACTAGCTCAGGGTGGGGGCCATGATGCTTTTGTTGTTTTTTTGAGACAGGATCTCACTATGTAGGGCAGACTGACTTTGAATTCACTTTGGTAGCTCAGGTTGGCCTCGATCATGGCGATTGTCCTGTCTCAGCCTGTGAAGTGCTGGGATTACAGGCATGCACCACCATGCCCACTACATGATTTTAGAAGCAGCCCAGCCCTCAGGCGATTTTCAGCAGTGGCTAGTATTGAACCCTGAGTCTATGCCTCCTGGGTATTGGTGTGGGGAGGTGGCTGCTGCTTAAGTGGGTCAGAAAATAGCCCTGCTTTTCATTACTAGGGAATCTGACTATTCATTAAGCAGATGTTTATTTTGTTCAGAAGTAGTTTCTTTTTTCTTTTCTTTTTTCTTTTTTTGGCTAGCTCAGGATGCCTTCAGGGCAGGTCTGGTAAGGTTTGAGGATCTGGGGATTGAATCACAGCATCCTGATTGCTTTGTTTAAGCAGTCACTTAAACAACTGAGCTAATGGGCAGGCCCCGCAGATGTTTATTTTGAAGTAAAAAGTACTGATTACTAATTTCCTAAAAACTAGTTTATGGAATACTGGGGAAATAAGATGACAGTAATTGTCAAATGTTTTCTTCTAGGATTAAATACAGCTTTTAACTCATATTGGGTGGAGATTTTCCCTGAATTTTCAAATAATAATACTACTTTCTGCTATCTGTGGATCTTGAGGATACCGGTCCAGGGTCTTTTTCTTTCGGTAGTGTACTGGTGATCGATTCCATGGCCTTCACACTGAACCCTATCCCCAGCCCTTCTCATATTTTGTTCTGAGACAGGGTTTCATGAAATTGCCCAGGCTAGGCTTGAACTTGTGATCCTCTTGCCTCAGTTCCCAGAGGGCTGGAATTGCAGGTATGCACCACCATGCCAAACTTCCCCTGGGATTTTAAAAATCCCCAATGTGAAAGTCCACAGAACAGCTTCAGTGACACTCCATGGTGTTATAACGTGTCCTAAGCATGGCAATGCTTTTAAAACTGAGAACCATTATCGGGGGGTTCACTGATAAATGGTTGGGTGAGGGCTTGCCTGAGAGTTTGAATCAGACTGATTCTATAGCCTTGGAAACCTGGTGTCAGCTTTTTGAGACCCACAACCTGTTACTAAGCTCAAGAGAGTGTTTCTTATTTAGTCAAGTGTGTTAAATGAGTGTACCAAGGTCCTGACTTGTGATTTGCCTGGAATCACAAGATTTAGTGGAAGAAGATGGATGAATTAATCTCTCAGTGTTCTAGAATCAACCAGCCTACCCAACTGTTGGGGAAAAGCCCTGGGAAGAAAATCCCTGAGGGAACACACACAAGACAGGCTATTCTTACAAGAGAAGAGGTAGGTTTTATGTCATCTGCTTGTACTAACTTCAGGTTGCCAGAGATCTAAGCCTTGTTGGGATTTCTGATGCCACTAATACAGTTTTGCCTCGGTTATTTGCTTGGGAAGGAGCTGCTCAGAATGGAGTTTCCGATTGGTGTGGAGAGGTTCAGGCCATGGTCCTCAGGGCCACTATAGCCCAGTGGACACACAAAGCATGATAAAAATGTGATGACTATTCAAATAAAATAAATAATTACATTAAGAATAAATAACAGTAAGAGACACATTGTCATTGATCCTCCTCAAAATACTCCACTACCTTGGAACACACTTATTCTGTCATTTTTGCCACTTTCTGAAGCACTTCAGTACATCTTCTTTCCTAAGAGTCTTTTTGTGGCTGCCTTGATGTCCTGAATCAATTCAAAACATTGACAGCAATTTCTGTCAAATAAAAGAATTTGTGGTGTGCCCGTATCCACCTCGTTCATAGGACCTAGTACTGTGCAACTTCTGGCTCGTTCCCTAAATCAAAATGACCACGAAACAGAAATGGTTTGAAGCAACCCAAGACCTTGAGGCAGTCATCACAGAGTGACTTAGACACTCACAGAAGAGGACGTCCAGAGCTGCTGCAGAAAGCAGTAAGCAAGGGCCGGGAAGATAGCCCCGTGGCATAAGTGCCTGCCTGGCAAGCACCAGATCCTGAGTTCAATCCCCAGGACCACAATAAATAAAATAAAATGCAGGACTTTTTCCCGGGGACCACCTGCTTGGGCACCCTCTCCTGTCCCTTTCTAGGACAGGAGTTTTCTTTCCCCCAAAAAATACATTCTGCTCTTACCAAAAAAAAGAAAAGAAAACAGTAAGCATGACGGGATGAGCATGTTGGAACTTGGGGAGTATTTTGAGGGAGATACAGTTGGAGTCTTTTACTGTAATAATTTTAAAATTTTACTGTACTTAAAAATGTTTTTAAGCCACTGTATTTTATGATCACTTCTCATATCATCTCCTGGGCAGTAAAGATCGCCCATCCTCTGCTTTTGGAGACCCACAGTGTCCTCAGGTTTCGGCCCTAGGTGTGGACAGAGGCTGACCCCAGTGAGGGGAGGAGTGGATGGCTACTTGGGTTAGGGCCTGTTTACGTAGACACACTACATATGTATGAAGAATACAGCGTATTCATAGCACGTGAGAGGAGGTGCCAACGTGTTCATTTCTACTGTACTAAGCAATTTATGAAAACCCCAAGCCCTCCCTTCTGTGCCACCTAAGGGCACTGGAGGCTCATTGCCAGGCAGGGCTCAGCTGGGAAACTGGGCAATGGCTCTCTTTTCTCTAGGATTCACTTCTTCATTTTCACATGTGTCCCAGGAATGAAGCATTTTTTATGAAAGGCTTCAGAGAGAAGCTGGGGATCAGGTGTTGGGGCAGCAAAGACAGCAAACCAGAGAATACAAGCTTGGAGGCAACTGGGTAACACCTGATGTTGAAAAGAAAGGATGTCACCACGGCCACAAGCCCTAGGCAGTCTGCAGAGTGATAGGTAGACATGCTTCATCTCACTTTTGGGGTGGCTCCCAGCAGAGGATCCCTAGGTTCCTCACTCATCTCACAAACTGCCTGACCCATGGCAAAGACCCAGGAGCCTCCAGAGTGGTAGATGTCCCAGAAAACCTGCCCTGGTCCTGCCTCTCTGCAGCCGCAGATGCCAGCGCTGGGTGACAAGTTCTCTGGGGTTTTCTGGAGGGCAAAACGGGAACCAAATCTCATTTAGACCTAAGCAAGGAGAAGTCACAGGGATTTTCAGGTGGGGTTCCTCTGCACAGTGCAAGATGGCGCCCCTCAGAAAGTCCCCGCCAGAAACAGGAAGGAGTGATGTCCACTGTGCCCATACTCACCTCAAACTCAAACTTTCTTTGAAATCTGAAGTTTTAGCTTAAAACTTCAAGCATATTTTGCACTGTCTTCACTCAATAGTCATTGACTTGCTAGAAAACGACTCATCGGCTTACTTATTTAACAACTTTTTTCTCCCTCATCAATTAGAGGCTCTGGAAAGATGTGCTGTTTGTGCTGGGACTTCTGTCCCCGATGTCTCTGCCACTGAGCACCACTCCTTCCTGGTCTGAGAAGCCTGAAGCTCGAGCCTCAGCTGGCCTTGCTCATCTCCTACTGCCTGGGGGCCCTTCTGGGGAGGAAATGGTCTAATGGCTGATGTGGACCTTACCTGTGTCACACTGCAGGCCAGAGTGTAGGGGGCATGTGAGATGCCTCCCCCTGCCTCCTGGCAAGTCCCAGTGCCACAGGGCTTCTCTGCACAGGACCCGGCAGGGGCTGCAGCCCCCAGGCAGAGGTTGACGCTCAAGAATACAGCTTCCCAGGGGCTGCGAAGCTCTCAGCACAGTGATAGGCATGAAGGGTCCCCACACAGAAAGCTAAGAAAGGGTAGCTTAGGGGGGCGAGTTTCCAGGTGCCTGGGAGCATGGGCAGTGAGACTGCCACAATAGTAGGGTGGGTTTTCTTCCTGGGTCTAAAGTTGGGCCGTAGCCAAATGACTGTAGTTCCTCAGACTGTGCAGGTTTTAGCCCGACACAAAATAAATATTTGGACCTAAATGTCACCAGCAGATTCATTCATCTCTACCTCACTCTGGGGCATGGGATCCCAGCAGAATTCTCAGCACTATCTGGTCATCCTTCCCTGCCCA